TACCTACGACTTGCGTCAAATGCTACTCCTTACACATACTTTCAGCTAGAGACTTCATTCCAACGATCACAAGACCTTACGCTATTAAAATCTTATTCAGATTTGTTATATCCTTTACACTTTTTGAGATATTTAACTTAGTTTGGAGCTTGGTAAAGAGGCCTTCTTCAGATTTTAATATTAGTGTGTATTGCGCAGCTCGTTAAGGCTAGAGTGCGTGATGTCACAGCTAGAGTGGGGGACAGCTTGAAATTCGCCTTCATATATATTTTTTAACTTACCATAATTCCCAAACCCTACGCTCCTGAGACATAATTATTAATGAAAAACATAGGAAAACCTCTCCTAGTTTGGAAAATAAAAAAAATTAAGCAAAAATAATTAAACGAAATGCATGAAGTGACAAAAACTTTCAACATGTCTTCTTTAAGGCCCATTGTAAATTCAGGCTGATCTTTCCTCACAGCTGCAGCCGCACACCTTTAGTTAATCTGTCAAAAAGGCCACATTATTGACCCGAAAGTATATAAAAAGCAGACTCAGTTGCTCGTCAGGGTTCTGAGACGCTTCACGTGTTGAAATGTCACCGATATCTGCAACGGTTCTTCAACAAAACGTTCACATGTAAGAGGTTTATCTCTCATTCAGATCAATGGAAAGGCTCTCCTCTCACTGATTACTGCACATCACCATGGAAACCTTCGATCTGGTGGGCTCAAGCACAGATGTTTCAAAACGTCATTAGCTCAAACATAAACACCTGTGTCATGGAACACGACGATGTCATAACTCCAACTGACATGCTCAGAATGCCACCAAAAATCACACGATGGTTAACACTGTGGCCCTGAACAGCTCTAGGTCAAATCTGATGTTACATAATGTGGTGTTACCATGGCAACACATCCCTCGCCATAAAACACGATGTCGCTGTAACTCCAATTGACACGGTCCGATCATCCCCCAATCTTCACTTGTATATCAGTCAAATCTGACATCTCACCATATGCCGTTTCCATGGAAAGCATCCCTCGCGAAAAAACAAGATTTTGTCATAATGCCTATGAAAAGGGTCAAAACAGCACCAGACTTCAGATAATGGTTAATGGTCCAGCCCTCAACATGTCTTTGTGCCAATAGTGAGTTTTCCTCAAAAGCTGTTGCCATGGCAATGCATCCCTCGCCATAAAACACGATATTGCTATAACTCCTATGAAAATCGTCAAAAAGTGCTCAAACTTCACATGTGTGCTAACAGTCCAGCCGTGAAGACATCTACGGGACAGTTTTGAGATTTCTTCAAATGCCGTTGCCATGGCAACACAATGCTCACCATGAAACACGGTTTTCTCATAACTTCAGTGAAAATGCTCCAAACGGCCCAAAACATCACAGGTTTGGTAACGATGCAGCCATCAACAAATCTAAGCGTATTATGAGGTTTAATCAAATGGCGTTGTCATGGCGACAGATCACTGGCCATCAAGTTAGTTCAGAAAGTTTGCAGTTAAAATATTCTGCTGCTTTTCAAAGCCTTTTTAGCTTTCTTTTCTCTTCTTAATACACATTAATTCACTACTACTTACATTTCATATCTAACTCCTTCAGCCTGCTTTCAGCTATAAACCATTCAACTATTAAATTATTCAGCTATTTCAGGACATTGAGGCTATACATTTTGTTGTTTATACCTTTTAAGACATTTTCTTTTAAATATTAAGCTTCTTCACTATTTGTCCAACTCTTCCAGTTTAACATTTCACTTTGAAGTTTTCAACAAAGTCATTGCAATGCATTTGAGCTGTAACAATTTTGATTCAAATCATTTCACTTTTCTGCATTTCTCCGCTAAGTTCAGCAACACACTTACTTGTTTTTTGTAGCTAAAAGCAGCTACAGAGACCATTCAACTAATAACATATTCAGCTTTTTCTGCATTTTCAGCTAGATTCAGTAACAAATGTACACAGTTTGCAGCATTCACATGCATTTTCAGCAGGAAATGCATTTTCTAGTTACAATACTTGTTTTGGATGGTTGTCGCCGCTCCAGCCAGATGAAGTCCCTTTCTTATCTAAAGACATGTTTATTTCTTTGGTTTGCTCTAAAATGCTTCTAAAACTTGCCTTTATCTCACTTTCTCAGTAGTCAATTTTGTATCCATTTACCTAAAACATAATAATACATTTCCTTTATATAGTGCTTTTGAAAATACTCAGACACGTACAAATCTGAGCAGGAAACTATTTATTTAGCTGTTCCAGTGCACTAGTTGTGGAACTGGGCAAACCTCAACTCAACTTCAGTTTAATTAAAATTCTCACATTTGAAATTGCATCTCTTCATAACCTTAATGTTAAATGATAATGTAATCATATTTGATGTTTCAGGGATCAAGTTTTGGCTTTGTTGCATCAACCTCCTTTTTAGATGCTCTGCTTACAGGTGTTCAAACGCATCTTTAAAACGGAATATTCCAGCTGAAAGGAATCATGGTCACTGACTAAATCAGTAGCTTTTACCACTGGAGCTACATGGCAGCTTGGTTTGGTTTTCGCAAAAGATAAATAAATGTGTAAGTTGAGTATGTGGGCAACAAACAGAATGTAAGCTAAAATAAGTCACAGTTGTCTCTTAGCTTCAAATCTACAATAAGCAGTTGTTGGCATTGTTTATCCACCCTGACGTCCTCCCTTTGTAAACTTTAAACTTTATGACCCTGACTTCCGTAAAGTGCTTTTCCGCTGAGGCTGTTCCAGGACTGGTTAAGAGCAGAGGCGCCAACATTTTGCCCAGAAAACTGGTTTTACTTTAGCCCAAACTCTGCCGCGTCAGCATCGAGAGTCACCTACGTCAGAGGCTACCGTCAAGAAGCTAGCGTCAAGAAGCTAGCGTCAGAGGCTAGCGTCAGAGGCTACTAAATAATTTAATCTATTTTTTTCGTGTCACACAGAACGATTTTAAAAGCAATATATTTCTATTGGTAGTATGTTTCGTGCTTGCACCACGTCTTTTTTTCCGGTCGGGTCTTGGAAGACGAGAAGCTGTGTGGTTCATAAAAACATTTTCTTGCTCAATATCAAGCCATGATTATTGTTTTTATTTTAAATTGTATCATAAATGGGGCTCAGAGCCTCAGAATACTGAAATCTGTACCTTTCTTTTTGGGTGCCGTTTTCGCTCATGTGAGCAAACGGCTGTTTAAGAATAAACGCACAGTATCTAATGATCTGTTTTTGCGTGTATTATTTTATGTTGCGGGTCTCCTCACGAGCCACTACCGCGGAGTAGAGGGTGGGGCCGTAACAGTGAAGTATTATTTGAATTATTTGAAGTATTAAAGTAACGTGTTATGGCAGGAAAGTTCAATCTGGTATATTCATTTGAATGTCACCTTATATAGAATGTGTGTTAAACTTGTGATTTCTGCATTGAGTGACTTCTGCCTAGCAGATACCAAGAAGAGGCCCCTAGGGTCTCTCTGTTAATTATCAATAGTCCTTGCAATTAACAGGGGAATTCCCAGATACATTTTCAGATAATCCAGTTAAAGTTAAAGTCCTGTTAATTAGTGGTTCATGTCCAGAATGCATTAGTTAAGAAACGATAAGGGTGTGTGTTTTGTTTGATTTCTTTGTTTTGTTCTTTCATGTGTGGGTATTGAATTGCTACAACATTTGTGCAGTGGTTAGCTTAAACATGTTTTAAAATTACTCTGTATGCAATCCAGAGAGCAGTTCTGCATTCCAGTAGATTGGAAGAGCTGGGGGAGGAGACATTCTTCTTAAGATTTTCAGCATGTCAATTATCAGGGAAATCTACTTGTTTTAAATAGATGTGTGTGGTTAATTACTTTGTATTAATAATAACAGTATGTGTAAAGGAAGCTGGAAATATGCAATGTGAAACCTTTTATTTGAAGTAAAGATGTGAACAATAGCTCAAATGGCTGGAAAGGCTGCAGGACAAATGAGTGTGTTCTCTATACTGGGCCTGTGTGAAGTTTGACTATTTGAAAAGCATCTCTAATACTGCTTAAGAGCATAGGTAATGTGTTCCTCGTTATTATTGATATGAAAGTAATTTACATGTATTACGTATATTTAGCCAACTATAGCAACTATATCTTAAAACATACTTTTAACTGGTGTGTGGTAACCTGAGGGGGGGAAGATGGCCACAGAGACAAAGAGCCGTAAAGGGGATGTGTGTGTGCTGGCTGCAAGATGTGAAATAAGATAAGGAAACTTGTTGTTTAGAGCAGGTTCGTTCCAGACACCAAAAGGTATCTGGTTTTCGTCAAACTGAAAGAGACTTTTTGTTTCCGGGTTGCTTCTGCTGTGTCGCGCTGATTGGGTACGACAGGCCATGTGTTGGTCTCTCCCAATAAGATGACCTCTGGGGGAAGCATTCACACACCTCCTCCTGTGTTTTTAGTATGAAAGCCTGTGTTTTCCTTTGGTTCGCGCTCTTCTTTTCTTCATGCTGGCCAAGGTGGTAAGACCTCTCCCAGCGAGAGGACCGGAGCAGGGGCACCCGAAGGGGGGCCCCTTTTGAATTGTTTTGTGATGTATTGTATGTTCCACCATTAAAGCAGATTATTGTTTAACCCTTATCCTGGCTGCTTTGACTTTTCCTTCTTTTAAAACAAATTCATAGAGGAACGGCGCGAAGCAGAGATTCTGCCCCAACAACAGTCAGAATACTAAAATCTGTTTTTTTTCCTAAACCTTTTTTACCTTCTAATTTGTTATTATTTACATTGCTTTTAAAATCTTTCTGTGTGACATGAAAAAAATGGGGAAATCGTGTTGGTGAACACGAATCAATAGATACATTTCGTGGGACTGGGTTGGTCAGAGGCTAGCGTCAGAGGCTACCGTCAAAAAGCTACCGTCAGAGGCTACTGTCAAGAGGCTAGCGTCAGAAGTTACGGTCAAAGGCTCGGGCGTGATTAACATGAGCAACAACAGCAATTACAAACCCCAAGTTTTATTTAACAGCGACAAAGACGAATGCAGCAAAGGCGAAGCAGTGGCTCACAGAGGATGGATCTATGTTCTCCTACTTGCAAGAGATTCAGCAATAGCTGAAGGCAAAAACAAAGATTGCTGTTTTTTCTAGAATACAATTTAATCTTGTTTTGTAAGAGTGAGAGTAACATGAGCACAGCTTGGACGCATTCCGTCATTGACAGGAAAATCTTTCGGGCATTTGTAGGAAAGGCAGCTTACCCCTTGACGTCATGACGTGGCTCCTCTCTGGCTTTAGCTAACGGGTTCTTAAGAGGTTTGCAAGTTGACCCAACTCTGAACCAGCACTAGCCTAAACACGGAACTCAAATGGTACTCCCATTAGTGGACGTGGGGGATTAGAGGCACCCTAACTGGTCCCGTGTCAACATTAAAAGGGTAATACAAAATATAGTCATTTTTATATTATATCCGCAGGTATGAGTTTGAATATTTAATAAGAACATGTCCGAAACAAACATATGACGACTCATATTCACAGTTTCTGGTATACAACTTCTTAGAGTTAGGGTTCCTAGGGTTAAATGTATGCAACTGAAAACTAGTTAGTGTTAGGGAGATAACCTACAGTAGTACCACCTCATGACCATAATGACCTGGTTGCGTCTATCGTTTTTCAAACCCAGTTGAGATTTAACCACGCCCACTTCCACACCAACGTAGCTCTGCGCGACTTCATGGATGTATAAAGAGAATGAGAACTTTACAGCGGTCTTGGGAAAACATTTGAGAACTTTGCCTTTAAGTTTCTTTGGACCATCCTATTCATTATAACCCTGCTCTAACAGTGCATAAACTGGTTTACGATGAGGCTGGTTTCCAGATGTTTGAGAGACAGTAGTTGGTGGTTTGAACACGTCCCTGGAATGGTAACTGTACATACTGACAGGTGCTTTGGAGATCTGAGATAACCCTTACCCTTACCTTTACCCTAACCCTAACCCAGCACTGCAAATAACAACCAGGCTTGCAGTATCACCTGCTGTCCAGGATTTGTGGATGAAATTCACTGTGGTTCTTTCAAATGTGAAAGACCTAGCTTTTGAATTACATACGAAATGACACAAAGACTTTTGTAACACAATAACAAGCTTGTCATGTTTTTAACACGAATGCTTTGCATTTCGCTCCATGCTTTATCAATGAGGGAATTCCAGACGTTCTTGTATAAAATAAGTCAAAATAGAGTGTTCACAGTCCTGACCTTTGTCTTCACACAGTGTAACATAATATAATAGTAATACATGAAGAGCTAAAATAATCTTTTTGATTCCTGGAAAAAAATCTGATCAAACGGTGGATTGAATCCTAAACATTTCCGAGTGTGTGTACTGAATACACATAAATACTATCAGGTATTTCCTAACTTGCCACAAACTGGTGGCAGCAGCAAATACAGATCAGAGAAAGCAATTATTCTCTCAGAATGTCACAGGCTGGTGTCAGCCGTCTTCATCTTCGGAGCACTGTCAGAGTTGGCGAGTGTAACCGTGTCGGGCTGAGCGTCCCTGCAGAAGAACACAGCGGGGTTTTTACACGCCCACATCGCCACTTCGCCTCCTTTAGCAGGACTCGAGCTGGACAATCGGCTGTTGTCATTCACCCCTATACGAGTCACGTAGCGGTCCCTTATCCTTTCCGCTTGGTTAATCCGAGCCTCGCGGTTCTGCGTTTGGTTGGAAAGGTATGAACCGATATTTCTGGTCCGATAGCCCTCCTCTCTGCTCCGCCCCATTAGCATGGATATATTGGGGTTCCTCAGGGCATAGATCAGGGGGTTGATGGCTCCATTTGCCCAAGCTAGCCAGATAGCCACTGTGTCCATCGCAGGGTTGAATGTGTAATCTCCCAATGCTGTAACCAACCCCATTAAACAGTATGGACCCCAACAAAAAATGATGAAAACAATCATAATGAGGACTGTGGTGGCTGTTCGCATCTCACTGTAAAATCGTAGCAAGTACGCATACGTGGTGACAGGCCTGACTCGGGTCTCAGAGAGACGAACCGTCTTACAGATGTTATAATGACAAAAACACATGAGGGAGAAGGGCAGTAAGTAACACACGATGATAAGGCTGAGGCTATATGTAGTCCCCATGCGTGAGGTCCCGGAGTGGAACACATACATACAGTGGTAGAAACCCGGCTTATGGATTTCCGGAGGGTTACGGACCAACAGATACCAAGGCAGGGAGAAAATGACCGCAGCTAGCCACACAGCTATCAACAACTGGGTGGCTTTCTGGCGGCCAATTTTAGCCTGGGGCTGTCTGACGATGGCGTAGTACCTGTCAAAGGAAATCAAAGTCATAGTCAGGGTCGAGGTGATGCCAAAGCAGGTGTTGAAAAATCCATTGGCCACGCAGAAACCGTCACCGAACATCCAGGTACCGTCCTTACTGAAGAGCATGACGAAAGAGAAGGGCAGACACAGGACGGCGGTGAGGAAGTCGGACAGCGACAGCGACATGATGAAGGCGTTGGTCACCGTCCGGAGCTGTCTGTGTTTGATGATGACGATGACCACCGCCGAGTTTCCGAGGCTGGAAAGGAGGAAGATGCAGAGCAGCACCAGAGCCTGCGTGGCCACGGCGACGCCCTGCAGGACCGAGTTACTCTCCACCGCGCTCAGCTCGCCCCCTCTCTGTCCGCCAAATGTGGACGTGTTTCCTGTGTTTCCCACTGTGGCCTCCGTGGTGGCGGTCACTAGGCTGGTCACTATGGAAACAACCCTTAAGGACCAAAAGAAAGAAAGAAAGAGGCTTAAATCATTGCACAATCTGCAGTATGGAAAAAGTATGGTCCTACATTTACTCAGAGAACTTTATGAAATACCTCAGGAATATGAAAAAGTAAAAAATACAATACAATCATAGGAGATAATGGAGATATGTGAAAAGGACATCCCAATAAATTGCATATTACCAGACATTGGATGTGAGTTTTTCCAAACCTCATCAACAAAACAGTATCAAGGCATGATATCAGTATGACAGTCTGATACAGGCGAGTATAAAGCTGGAGTTACCTTCTTTACCCTAGCCCTAACCTCTTTGAGCTATTCTGTTAATGCCCTAGTCACAGTTTTAGACATCATTTTTGGTCAACACAGTGCAGTTCATGTTTTTCACATTCATGTAAAAGTTACGACAGTTCCTGCTTCTGCCAGAGAGAGGGGGGGAGTCCTCACAAACTTGCTGCTGTGTTTACACCCTCCACCTTAAATAAGGAGCCTCATTCAGCTGAGTGTGTGACAAGAAACAGAGTTCACTTTGTCCCAGAGTTGGAGGGTGTAGGGTCGGTTTGGAATTGGGCGTATAAAACCCCAGGCTGAGAGGCAGTATCACAGGAGGCCTCTCCCTTCTGCTGCTGCACCGGAGCGTTTAGGCATATTTGACCGCGGCACAGCTACTGGGGGGGGGACAGCAGTGGGCATATTCAGCTGTAACAGCTAAATGTGTCTCTAACCAGAGGAAACAGTGGTCAGTGACAGCACAACTATTCAAATAAGAACTTTAAAAACAGGCTGTGTCAGATTCCTATGTAGCAGATCAGATCAGACCACGCTGTTACACATCTGTTTGATTTATGAGAAGGGAACACAGGGGATTCAGCCTTTGCAGACCATTGACATGCACAGAAACCTATAGAACACACTACAGGAGAGGGAAAACCCCAAAAAGTATAATAGGGCCTCTTTGATGTGATGTAATGTTCGTGTTCAAGGGACTATGATACACATGGATCTTAACACTAAAGTACTAAAGAAAAAAGGTTAACCTATTATAGTAGATATTTGTGTCAAGACTTACATTAAATTAATGAAAGAAAGAAAGGGTGAGTGTTATGTTTTCCGAAATAATAAAAAAATCATCACACTGCCTTTATTTACAATAATGCCATGAATTTGATATTACCTTATTTTTCATACCCTGATGGATTCAATTGCCAAAAATTCGAGATATTTTTAGTTTAAAGTCCTGAGGGAGTTGTTTTCAGGAATTTCTTATGACACGACTGACATTGTTGGCTGATTTCTTTTCTTATCTCAGTCCACTCTACATCTCAGGTATAAAAAAAAGTGTTTGTGTCACCTTAAGGCGACTGCAGCTCCAGGTAAGGGTGTATGAACGCTACAGGTGCAGGACGTTGTAGCTACAGTATTCCTTTTTTAAGGATTAGTGGAAATTGTGGATAACTTGCTAACTACAACTTACTCCAACCAGTTGCTGCCTTCAGGGGCCACTCACATGCAAAGATGTGAAGGTGGTGACAGAGGGACTCACCTTGGAACCACAGGTGAGGCGGTGTTCAGCTGGTGGGTGAAGCGCGGACCCGGGGGGGCAGCGGTGTATTTGTTGCCACCACCCCCCAGCAGGGCCGAGCTAGCAGACCAATCCATCGATTAAGCACACAAACAACACAACAGAAGTCCGGCTTGGTCTCACACACATCCCTTCACACTACAGCCGCTCTGTGGTGCTTTCACGGATTCCAACGTAGCTGCTGATAACTCCTCGTCATCCATTTGTACGTTTTCAGTTAGCATTATCTCAGGAGAAAAAGAAAAGACAATTCAAATATGCATGTGTACATACACACAACTGAATCTTCATAGTACAGTTTATGGGATTTATTAATTTATAACGGCAGTAAAACAAAGATCCATCTAGAGAAAAAAACAGGCCCCTTTTTTTTTACTATGGACAAATGTTTTTACACCACTGGTGAAAACAGGCAGTTGCTCTGTGAGTATTACAATGATGCTTCATTATTACAAACACTTCTGGCCATGCACCTTGTACGCCATGAAGTCCCCAGACCCTGGATCCAAAGGGGCCCATCATAAAAATGCATACACATTTAGCAGATACATTATCATCTAGAACAGTGGTTTTCAACTGGTGGGTCGCGGACCAGTTTGGAGTGAGTGAAGGGAAAATAAATTGAAGAAAAAAAAATTGACCCCAGGTTTGATGATTGACAGGTCACAGAACAATGGGAGCTATCTACCCTTACCCACAATTTAAAGTAATTCACACAAACTATCTTCTCTTTACTCTTCTCTCTGTGTGGAGCAGCAAGTGCAGCTGTCAGAACAAAGTGAAAAACAAACAATGGCATAAAATATTATTAATATGTCGGGTAGTAATAGATTTATTTTATTTTCAGAGTGTACCAGAATGCGTAGTTTATATGTTAGCATTTCTAAAAATCTCCTGGGGG